TTTTTTGAGATGGAGTCTTGCTCTGTTGCCTGGGCTGGAGTGCAGTGGTGGCGATCTTGGCTCACTGCAACCTCTGCCTCCTGGGTTCAAGTGATTCACCTGCCTCAGCCTCCCAGGTAGCTGAGATTACCGGTACATACTACCATGCCTGTCTAATTTTTCTACTTTTAGTAGAGACGGGGTGTCACCGTCTTGGCCAGGCTGGTCTGGAACTCCTGACCTCAGATGATCCACCTGCCTTGGCCTCCTGCAGTGTTGGGATTACAACCGTGGCCAGCTGGTGTAGTTGTTCTTGGTTGAAGCTGCCACCTCCTGGTGGGTTTCCCTTGCTGCCCAGGCCCCGCCCTATGTTATCTCTGGACTGCTTTTCCTTCACCTCGGCTTCTGCTTCATTTCTGTCCTCAGTCAGCCCTGCATCTCTCCCAGCCATCACAGCTTTCCAGGTTTCTCTTTCCCATTCAATGGGCGCCTCTGTGCAACATAAAATGCATGCCAAGTCCCAGCGGTGCCGAGTTGTTTGGGGGGTGTGTGTGTGTTTCCTTCTCATTTCAGTTTGCTTTTCGAAAGAAAAAAAAAAATAAGTCATAGGTACTTCTGGAGCCCAACCTCTTGGCCTTTTAGCTTTCAGAAAATATTAAATATCTCTTTCTTGCATTTATATAAATAAACTGATAGCCTAGAACATTTTGTATTAAATGTTTAAGTCTTTTCGAGAACCACCAGGAGCTTTCGAGACCTACACACAGACAGCCCGATTCCTGGCCACCTTTCACTGTGCAAGACTTGCCTGGGATGGTTTTTTGAAGATGGTGTTCATCACTCAGCTGTGATTGCCTGGCTCGACAGAGGAAGTGGATTCTCTTTAAACACGGCCCCCTCCCCTTAAAAGAGAAAAACAGGATAAGATCCAGAACAACCCCGGAAAGTTGAGGGCCGAGGGCTAAAAGACTGTGCAGGGTAACAACACCAGATAGGAAATGCTCAGCTAACAGGACTCCATCCCCTGGACTGTGGCAGGAATGTGGGTCAACATTGGGAAACCTGAAAATTCCCCCACGGAAATGACTCCAAGGGACAGACCGGGATTGGTGAGGAAAGGGCACGGCTGCTTAGAAGTAGCCAGGTTTCCTGGATATCTTTATCTTTTTCCAACACCGGCTTGGAAAATGTGAGACTGCCACCCGAGGCGTGTTGTCAGTGGTGCCTGTGGTGTGATATTCTCTTTCTTTCTCTGTAGTTGGAGGCTGGGAGCGATGAAGATCGAAAGTTAAACCTCAGGTAAGCAGACTTTCCATTTTTGTTCCTAAGTCTTTCTCCCAAGCAGGTAAGGAATGCTCTTGTTCTTCTCCAAAGGGAAAACCTACAAAAAGAATATGCCAATTTTTCAGTGCCTTAGCAATTATTACCTAAAGCACATCTAAAACTGTAATGCTTTCAAATCCATACATATGTTTAGCTGCTTTAGTAATATTATATAACAGTTGGAAAAGAAGGAAAATAATTGCCATTATTCTACCACCCTTACATTACCATTTGGGGCATTTTTTTTTTTTTTTTTTTTTTTGTAGCTTACTATTTTTTAATAGAGATAGGGTCTCGGACTCCTGGCCTCAAGTGATCTTCCTGCTTGGCTTCCCAAAGTACTGGGATTACAGTCAAGAGCTACTGCTCCCTGCCTAACTTGAACATTTTTATGTATTTTCTTGCAGACTATTCTTCTGCTTAAAAAAAAAACAACCTAATAATCATGACACTCTGCCCACACTTTTTCATTCCGCTTTTGGTAAGGTGTTCCTTTGGCCATAAGCACTTTGCTGATTTGAAACAGATTCTCAACCCCCTAAATGTATCAATTCATGGTGCTTTAACTGTGCTTATGAGAAATCTTTAGCTCTGCTCATTTAAAAGATTCCAAGATGTAGTCCTCAGCTGATGTATTCATTAATGGACACAAAAACTTTTTTTTTTTTTTGTGCCAAAAATTAAGTCCTGCCTTTGTTTGGGTGTTTATAGATGATTCAGCCCTTTGTTATATTCATATAATATGTTCCTTCACACCAAGGAGCCAGTCTTAAACTCTGACCTCAGAGTTCAAAAAAAGTAAACAAACTTTCAGAGATATTGTTCTTTAAAAAAAAAAAAAGTCTGTTTTATCTCATGAGGGGAAGGAAAATTAATTGGAAGAGGAAATGTGTGTTCAGAAATTGGGGTCAACTGTTCATTACTGAGAGCAGGGTGTTCTGGTCAAACTCTCATGCAGAACTGGTAGAAATATGATCAGCTTTTCTTTGACGTTTCTGTGTGTTTGAGTGAAGGAAGGGGAAATACTCACTTTTATTGTGGCACACATGATTTCTAAAGATAGTGTGGGTAGGGAAATACTAGCCTGCCAGAATCAAAGAGATGAGATGTCTTATTTCTGCTGCTGGGTCTTCGCTTTTAGTGTTATGCTGAAGACACAGGACACATTTGCTGTGTCACTCTGGGGTTTTTGGTTGGTCAGGTCAGGGCCCACCTCAGGGTTCCCAGACTGTAAGCAGCTGGACTCCCAAGTGGGGGCAGTTGTGGGCTGAGTTGCAGATCAGACTGTCTGGGTGGAAGCAGAGAGGGGGTGGAGTGGAAGTCTGGAGACTGGCTGTCAAGGAGGAACTGAAAGAGGGGCTTGCCTGCCTTTTCAGAGCAGCTCCTGAGGTACCCAGCTCCCTTCCCCACAAATCCCCTACCCCAGATCCCTGCCCCCAGGTTCCCTTTCCCCTAGTCCCCTCTCCATCTCCCCTCCCCTCCCCCAGCTTCCCTCCCTAGATCTACCTCCCCAAGCTCCCATCCCCCAACCCCATCCACTCCCCAAGTTCCCCTCCCCCCAGTCTCCTCCCCATCTTCCCTCCCCCACTCCACTCCCCCTAGTTTCCGTCCCTAGCTCCACCTCCCCAAGCTCCCATTCCCCAAACCCCCTCCCTAGATCCACTCCCCAAGCTCCCCTTCCCCAGATCCCCTCCCCAATCTCCCTACCCCAAATTCCATCCCTAGATCCCTTCCCCCATCTCCCCTCCCTAAAGTCCCCTCCCTGAGCTCCCTTCCCCATAGCTCCCCCCAGTCCCTTCTCTCAAGCGTCCCTCCCCAAGTTCCTCTCCCCTAGATTTCCTCCCTAGATCCCCTTTGAAAGCTCCTCTCCCCTTCTCTCTTCCCCATCTGCCCTCCTCCAGCTCCCCTCCACAAGCTCCCCTCTCCCAGATTTCCTCCTTAGCTCCCCTCCCAAACTCCCCACCCTCAGGTCCCCTCCTTGAGCTCCCCTCCTCAAGCTCTTTTCCCCCAGTTCCCTCCTAGAGCTCCCCTCCACCAAGTCCTCCTTCCCCAGTTCCTCCTGGAGCTCCCTTCTCTGGCTCCCCTCCCCCAGCTCCTTCCTGGAGATCCCCTCCCCAGATCCCCTCCCCCAGCTCCCTCCTGGAGCTCCCCTCCCCCATGCCTCCTCCCCTGGTTCCTCTCCAGCCCTTTCTTGGGGTTGGAATCTCTTCCATCCCTTGACCCCATCCCTCTCTGTCAGGGCTGTTATTGGTGAGAGAGCACTGAGTTCCGTCACTTAGACTATCTTTGGAACAAAGAGCTATTTTTATTTTTTAATTACCTTTAATAGCTTATAACATAGTGTTTTCAGTTAATATGAACTTATAAATGGCAGTGACATGAAAATGTGTATGTGGACTTTTCTCACTGGTATTTAACCTTTTTTTTTTTTTAATATATGTTTTTTAAAGGCTAGTCAAGTGAAGCAGTAGGAGTGGAGAAGGAACAAAGAAACCTATAACTGGTTGTGATCAATTAGTTGTAAACACCACTGCACTCGGACCAGCCTTAACCTTTTTTAAAATTAAAACATTTTATTTTTATTTTTTAGAGACAGAGTCTTAACTTTGTTGTCCAGGCGAGAGTGCAGTGGTATGATCGTAGCTCACTGCAGCCTTGAACTCCTGGGGCCAAGCTATGTTCCCACCTCAGCCTCCCAAGTAGCTGGGACTACAGGTGTGCCCCACCACACCTGGCTTATTTAAAAAAAAATTTTTTTTTTTTTTGAGACAGAGTCTTGCTGTGTCACCAGGCACCAGGCTCCAGGCTGGAGTGTAGTGGCGCAATCTTGGCTCACTGCAATCCCCATCTCCTGGGTTCAAGCAATTCTCCTGCCTCAGCCTCCCAAGTAGCTGGGACTACAGGCGCGCACCACCACACCCAGCTAATTTTTGTATTTTTTTTTGGTAGAGACGGGGTTTCATCTTGTTGGCCAGGATGGTCTCGATCTATTGACCTTGTGGTCCACCCATCTCGGCCTCCTAAGGTGCTGGGATTACAGGTGTGAGCCACCACGCCCGGCCTTAAAATGTTTTTTGAAGAGACAAGTTCTCACTGTGTTGTCGAGGCTGGTCTCAAATTCCTGGGCTCAAGTGATCCTCCCACCTCAGCCTCCCAAAGTGCTGGGATTACAGGCATGATGACAGCCACTGCACCTGGCCCTTTTCTCGCTAATAAAAGTCCCTTTCTCTGCCTGGTTGGGAGCTGCAGGGGACCTTACAAAGGGATGGGAAATAAGGCTTTGGCAGCTTTCCATATTGAATCCTCAAAACAGCCTTAGGAGGGAGATTTTCCCAGTTGGTGGTTGAGGCCCAAGATTGAAATTGGGAAATACTGTATTTGAAGCGAGACCTTCAACACCAAGTTGACCCTACTGTGCTGCATTGCTGGAGACCAGGTTCATAGTGCGGTTGAATTAGCTGTCTCAGACATACAGGTGAGGGAGCTTGCCTAAGGCCACCAGAGTGAATTAGCAGCAGCGCCAGGGCCAGCATCAAGGACTCATGCCAGCTGGTGGTGGGTCCCTCCTAGGATGTTGGATCATTGTGACTACCACCGAGAGTCCTTCTGTGCCACTCTCAGCAGGTCCCCAATACCATTGTGACCAATGGGAGACCCTGAGCTGGGGTTGGAGTCCTGTGTTCTCATTCAGGGTGGGATGCTGGGCTCTGGGCTTGTCCCCCCTTTTAAGCCCCTCTTCAACCACCTTGACGTAGCACTCCCCTTTTGAGGCACAGGACACCACCCTGCCTCCTGACCTTCCTTGCCACACAAGAAAAGTTGTTGTAGCCTGGTTTAAGCTTTGACTGAAACTCATTCACACCCATGTGGTAATTTGCATTTTTAGGCCTTTTCTCTCTGAGTCTCTCCTAGAGAAGAAAATTATGGAATAGTTTGTTCCCTTTTGTTTGTTTGGGGTCGGGAGAGTTAGAGATTTCTCTTTGTTTCCAATGGATCCCGAAGGCGAACTGCCATTACCTCGTCTCTAAGAAAAACTGGAGGTAGCAGGATATTTCTCTCTCTTTTCTCCCCTTCGCCTAGCCTTAACTAATAGTTTCATCTTTTGGGTCATCCAAAAAGTCAGCTCTGCTTCTTGCATATTCAATAAATTGCAGGGACACATGGATTGGATTTTCCGAGTCACCTGCCTTCTTTTTCCCAGGTTCCCTGGTGGCACCTCTTTGGTCCTCACACCTCCTCTGTCCTGTCACAGAGGGACACCTCTGGACCCATCCCCTCTACCTTGGCATATCACCCCTGGCCTCTCGAGCCTTCTTCCTGCTGGTCCCCAAAGTCTTCCCTGTGTTCTGGTGTCACTGGTGTTGCTGGCCTGTCCACCGTCTACTCTTACACGTGCCTCTGCCAGTCCACGGACCTACTCCCTGCTCCCCAACCACACGCATTCCCTAGGCCGGTTCCTTTTCACCTGGCCACAGTCCTCATAGCCAGTGAAAAGTACTCCCACCCCAGATGTTTGTGACTTCCCTCTCTTCAGAGAAAGCAGGAGGCCCCTGGTGTCCCTCTCTGTGACAGGCACCACACCTACCTTACGTGGCAGGTCTGTGTGTCTTTGTCGCATCCCTTAGTGACAGGGCCTCATTTCTCTGCCTTCATGTAGCATTTAAACAGTTTAAATGGCAGGGCACGGTAGCTCACACCTCTAATCCCCAGCACTTTGGAAAGCCAAGGCAGGATGGATCACTGAAGCTCAGGAGTTCAAGACCAGCCTGGCCAACATGGTAAAACCCCCCTCTACTAAAAAAACAAAAATTAGCCAGGCGTGGAGGTGCATACCTGTAATCTCAGCTACTCAGGACGCTGACGCAGGAGAATTACTTGAACCCAAGAGGTTACAGTGAGCTAAGGTTGTGCCACTGCACTCCAGCCTGGACAACAGAGCAAGACTCTGTCTCAAAATAAGTAAAGAAATAAAATAA